ATTCTTCCTTCTCTGCTTTTAGATGCTTGGAAACTTATGTCTAAGAAAATGTTAAATTCTTAAATCCCAGTCACCTAGGATTCATAATAATTAAGTTTCTTTTGCCTTCAGCACCTTCTAAAGTACAAGACCATAATTATAATTTTTTTATTCATGGAAAATTAATTATTCAATTTTCTGGCAATATCTTTCCAATCTTGGTTGATCCCAAAAAGCTAAGAAGTGTAAAACCTAGTTTATAATTTGGATCAAAGCCAAGAACTGTGGGCCACTTTGCACAGTTTTTAAAATAATCTTGCAGAAGTCAGGGGCAATCTGTTTTTTATTGCTACCAAAAAAACCCTACATGGAGCTGACCTTGAAGTCACCAGGGATAGAACTTGATTCAGTGGAGATTACCTTACAGAAATTAAAATCATTTTAATTTAGGATGTGGTTGCCTCCCTAAGAGGAAAGAATGTTTTAGGTTCAGCTGGCATCTAATCTTAAACAGTGCAAAAGTAATGATTTTTGCACCTCATATTTTCTTTGACCAAACAAGATCAAGAGTTTTCTGACAGAGATATGAATGTTTCATGGGATATAAAAAAAAATCTAAATCTAAAATATGAGAAAATTACTAGGCAGCTAGTTTGGAGATTTAATTGGTAATTTAGATTGGTTAATTGCTGGATTTTTGTGTATTTTCACTTGTGAAAAAGCCTAAATTGAACAATGTCTGAAGGCTTCACTGTATTGCATTTGAAACATAGTTTTAGCTTTGAAAGCTTGATATCAGCAAGTACAGGTAGTTCTTGAGTTACCACAGCAATTGGACTGGAAATTCTATTGCTAAGTGATAAAGTCATAAAGTGTGATGTCATGTGATCACCTCACTTAGTAATGGCAGTCCCGTTTCCCGCCTTTAAGTGAAGATCTCAAGTAATTAAGAGAGGAGATCACATAACCATAACTTACAGATTTGCATAAGCAAAGTCTCTGGGGATGCCAGTAGGAAGTCACAAGTCTGGTTGGCTCTCTGGCAGATGGGCAGGTACTATGGAGGGCAGATGGGCATCTGTGAAGTTTATAAATAATAAACAGGTACAAAGCATAGTACAGTTAGTCTGGTTTGTGTGCCTCATCCTATATTAGTATGTGTATAAAATTGCCTTGAATGAGATTCAGGTTTACTGAAGAGTTATGCAAAAATTTGGAAATTTGAAAATCTTTGGCACAGTTTAAAGGAGAATCAACGTGATGTAATGGTTAAAGTGTTGAACTAGGAGCAAGGGAACCCAAGCTCTCATCTGCTCTCAGCCATGAAGGTTGACTAGGTGACTGAGGTCAGTTATTCTCTCTTAGCCCAATCTACCTTACAGGAATGTTGCTTTGAGGAAAAAAATAAGAAAAGAGAGACCACTATATGCTGCTTGAATTGTTGAATGAAATGCTGCGTATATGTCTAATAATATTAAGCAAAAGAATTGTGTAACTTTTCATCTCTTTTTTCATGATAATGTTTTAAAGTAATTATTTTAATTGTACGGCTATTTGTACAGTAGCTAGTACGGTAACTAACTAGAGTTATTAATACAGACAGCATATATATGGATATAAATAAAATAATGGTTACGTCAAAATAAGCTACACTAAAACTAATGTGCAATTTTTGCTGAATTGTTGATGTAAGTGCTTCCTGACTTTGAGAGGAATCTTACAATCTTACATATGGAAACCACAGAATTAGAGGAAGTGTGCCTGAATATCATTTGGGGATTAATAGTGAAAGAGGATTGTTACTCTCATCCAGATTGTAATCTGTTTGAAAGAAGGCGGTAATCAGTGCCCCACAAACTACAGGTAGCTTCCCAGATCTCAATTTATGGCATCTATGGCATCGTGAGATTATATAATTTCAGCAGTTTGTTTGTTTTTAAAATAGAAGTCAGGATGGGACCAAGATGCTCTCAGAAAGAAAATGACTTCTATCTCAACTATTTAAATTACCCCCAAATCAGTCCAAAATCATGCATCTGAAACTCCAGAGTAATATGGTCACATTTATGCTGTATAATTTCAGGCTGTTTTAGGGAGGGGGAGGTCTTAAGGATGGCAATGGGAACAATTTGTTTATTCCCACTTTTATTAATCTTTTAAAATAGAAGAAAAATGGTCTGTCTTTGAGAACAGTGTTTTTCAACGTTTTTCACAGATTGTACCACTTTTAGGATATGGCAATATTCGAGTACCACGAGTCGCCTAGCAAGGTGTCAAAAATTTGATGATCCCCCTCAAAAAAGAAAAAAAGTGCTAAAGTACAGGTAGTCCTCAACTTACAACAGTTCGCTTAGTGACTGTTACAATGGCACTGAAAAAGTGACTTAGGACCATTTTTCACATTTACAACCGTTGCAGCATCCCCAGGGTCACATGATTTACATGCGGTTGCTTAGCAACTGATTCATATTTATGTTGGTCGCAATGTTTCAGGGTTATGTGATCCCCTTTTGCAACCTTCTGACAAGCAAAGTCAATATGGGAAACCAGATTCACTTAACAACCGTGTTAAGTGTTACTGACTGCAGTGATTCTCTTAACAAATGTGGCAAGAAAACTCATTTAACAAATTTCTCAGTTAGCAACATAAATTTTGGGCTCAGTTGTGATTGTAGGTTGAGGACTATCTGTACACACACTTAGCACACTTTTAATGGGAAACTTGTGCCTGTTTCTTTACATTAATCTTTGCATTGTTCTATCCCCTTCTCTCCCTCTGCTTGTCTCAAAGAAGCTTCTCCGTTTCTCTTTCTCCAGCATGATGAGTGGAGAATCCAATGGTGGGTTATCTCAGCCTTCTTGCTCAGATGAGACTAAGTCAGAAATTTGCCACGCCTCCCGCTGGGCTGGACTGTACCCAGTTTTTGACTTAGTCTTCACTCAGCAGGACGCATTAATTTAGGCTCCTCTGAATTAGATTTCAAGTTGAGAACCCTGTGGAATTTCCACTCATCATTTTTTGAATTGGCTTTCCAAATTTAAAAAAACCCAAACAACTAATTTGCTTACTAAATTCTTTAGGACTACTGTTGGGGCCGTTTGCAATTCTGGCTCCCCAGAACCTCTTCAGTTGTTGCTGGGAGCCGTTTGGCCTTTCGGCTCCATCAGGCCTCCCGATCGGCTGGGAGAACTCTCCCGGAGGCGTGGGGTGTTCGCCTCAGCTGGGCGACCGCCTGATGTGATTTCGGAGGCCTCTTCTCTTTCCCTGTCATCTTTTTTTCTCTCCCTTTCCCACCAAAACCTCCTCCTTTTATATCCTCTCCTTTCTCCCCCTCCTCCTCCTTTTCTCTTTGGTGCAACTCCAGCTGACTCCTCTCCCCCAGGATATGCTTTGCTCCTGGAAACGCCAATCAGCTAGAACCCCACGTAGATCCTGGGCATTCAGCAGAGCCCTGGCAATACCACAACTCCAACTGACTCTCCCAAAGGCTTTAGCTCATCCCTCCCCCCCCCCGTTACACATTTTTTAACAGTGCTTTTCAACCTGCCGTAGGTGTACCACCTGCCAGGTGCCAAAGTACGGGTTGAAAAGCACTGCTCTAGAAGTCTGGAAAGTTGAATTGCAAAAATTGCCCATACTCGATCTAGGGATATGAGCTATAGTGGAAAAGAGTATATTGAACTAAATGGATCAGCAGTCTGATTTAGCGGAACTTATATTCTTCTGTTCTAGAAATTTTAATATATTTTAAATAGTTTAATAAAACTGCTTCTTTTCAGGAAATCAAACCTCCAGCTCACTATAACCATGGATATAATGAATCTCTTGGGCGCAAAAGCCACGTTGATGATTACAGTACATGGGATATTGTCAAAGCCACACAGTAAGTGTATTTTTTTAGTCATATAGATATTTGTTTCATGGGGAAATCAACAGTTAAGATATTAATTTTGTATTATGTAATTGTGGATTGATGTGGTAGAAACAGAGATTGTTTAGGATCAAAAGAGTCAAAAGGTAGGGAAAAATATAGTGCATGACATTGGTAATTTAGTTGTTTCCTTTTTATCTAATGCTTTTGCTTATTTGTTTCTGATTCCTTTTTTATGCTTTGAATAATGATGCTTACCCAATCGCACACTAGTCTGCTGGTGGTCAATTTCAGTGGGCTTCAATTACAGCACTGCTTAGTGCTTTGGACATTTTTGGCAGTGACCCACCAAGCCTCTTCTAGCCTTCTCTGCCAAATCTGGCACAAGTCTTTTCAAGCCACTCTCCTACTCTAGCTTTCATCAGGCCTCTTCGTAACTGAAGCTTTAGTTTTCTCTCTAGCTTGCAGCACAATTCTACTTTTCCTCAAAGAAAGATTTTCAGCTCTCTTCATTCTCTTGCTTGAACAGCAGGGGATGAGTGTGTGGGGGGTGAGTTTCCATTCTCTTTGAGCTCTAAATTCCATTCTTTTATCTTACTTCTGCTACTAGCAGAGGTAGGAGGGGTCATTTCAAAGGGGCAGACAAAGGGTGTTTCTTCTCCTGTGTTACACAACTTGTTCTTCCACAGGTGGTATAAACTGAATTAATGAAATTACACATGTTGAGAGTGCACTTTTTAAAATCAGAATTGACAAATTCTTTGTGTTTTCATTTTGAATGTATTAGAAATGTAGAAGATCTTATAAATAATGCATTGATGAAGGGTGGGGAAGGAATAGATGAAAGTAATGGCGATGAATAGTTATTATCTCCATGATTTACAGATAGTCCTCAAGCTATGACCCTAATGGAGCCTTCCCATTAGGGTCGTAAGTCTAAATTTTGTAAAATGAATTGGACTCATATTTATGACATTTTTGAAATACACTCATTAAGCGAATCAACCAGGTCACTGAATGAACGCAGATCGGACTTACTGTTTGCCTTGATTCGTTAAGTGACCTCTGCCATCCTTAAGTGAACTGAAAGGCTAGGGAATTTGCCAGGCTCCCCAGCTGGAGCCTCCAGAGGGAATGCTGCTGCCCGCCCATCAGCTGTTCTGGCCAGGTGGTCCTCCACCTCTGAACCGCAGCACCTCCAGTCAAGTGCCCAGACTTAAATTGGGATGGGAGTGAATTTGCAGGTTCCAAGTGGAGCCTCTGGAGAGAACTGCCTGCTCATCAGCTGTTCTACAAGCAGTCTATAGTAGTTCACACACTAATTCTCAAAGCAAAAGCTAACAAACAGTTGACTGCAAAGTATCTTTCTGCAAGCAATCTTAAACTATGTGTAAACAAACAGTACAGTTTTTAGGCAGCTGTTTGTATCTCAAAGACTATCTGTAATTATCTAGTTGTATCACCTCAAAAGACTAACACCCAACCACATTTTACAAAAACCAGTTAGTGCTTCCTTGTCCCCAAGTAAGTATTGTTATAACACATGAATAGGCATATGCAGCTTCATAAAATAAAATGGTTTTTGTGATAATTTTGATAATTAGTCCAATAAACATTTTTCCTGTTGTAAAAATGCAAATCTAACCTTGGTTTATATAATAAAAGTACGGCAGAAACAATAAGATTTCACCTTGGAAAAATAGGAAAGTATGTGCACTGCATTTTAAATGTAGAAGTCATTTAGAAAAAGAAAATAAGAGAGATGTCTCCCTTTTTTCTCTATTCTGTCCAGTGTTGTTCATATTCAAATATTAAGTTTGATTAATTCAGAATTACTAACTAATTAGACTTTTCTTCAAGGTATGGAATATATGATCGTTGTTGTGAGTTGGTAGAAGCAGGCTATGATGTACGGCAACCTGATAAAGAAAATGTTACGCTTCTCCATTGGGCTGCAATCAACAACAGATTGGATTTAGTGAAGTAAGTGCTACTTTTCTGCCACAATCAGTTTTTAATTTTCTTAGTACGATTTAACTCTTCTATATTTCTATCATAGTTGGATTAGGCATAAATACATTGTATAGTCATATATCTATATAAATAAAAATGTAAATGTTCGTTTGTTCAGAATCTTAAATCTCTGAAAGTTCTTCACCGATTGCTTTGAAATTTTGACACAACGTTGCATTCGAATACGCGCGTGTTTTTATATACCTACTACCTACTATTATATAGATGTCACACCTGTGACAGGTAAAAACATGCTTTTTTTTGAAAAACAGCACCATCTGTTGGACACAAGCATTGTGAAATTAAACATATTACAAACGTGCGCTTTCTCTTTTCTTTCTTTTCCATTTAACCAGACTGAGCCACAGCAACGCGTGGCCGGGTACAGCTAGTTTTAAATAATAATTAAATGATTAGCCAAAGGCTGTAAGAAAAAAATCATTCATTCATTCATTCAGATAGTGACTATTCTTTTTTACAGTGTTTGAACTACTTCCGCAATAAATAAATGATCATACTGGTTGATAAAAATATCAGTTTAAGGTTGTAACTTTTGATAGCCATTATTCAATTACTTATTCTGTAATGGTCAAAACTATAGATTGCCAACAGTTAAATTTCTATCATTTCAGACTAATAAACTCAAAAAATAGAGTAGCTGTTTCATTTTCTCACTAATAAATGCTATAATTTCCATTTTCACTTTAGTTGTTACTGAAACAATAATATGTAATGCCTTGAAAAAGCTTAATTGTTTAGTTTGAAATATAAGGAAAGCTGTATTTAAAGAACAAATGAAGCTAATTTATTGTTCATTAAAATAAATGCTTAGTATGGAAAATCAAGTCAAACTGATTAGAGACATTTGTAGACAATTGTGCCTCTGTCAGGCTAATGGCATGCATTATTTTTATGAGATATTTGAATTATTTGGTACTCTCATCTTGAGGATCACAAGAATATTTTAGAACAGAAAATAAATATAATATTTAATATATTAATACACATGTACACATTATATATATAAAATAACTAACAGTTTTGGAAATCATACATAAATCATAAAAGTTTTGCTTATAAAAGTAACCACATTTAAATGTTTCAATATGTTTAAAATCTCTCCAGTCCAGTTTAATTAAAAAATTTCAGTCTACTGCTTTTAAATACTGTCATTGATGTTCTTTTGTCAGCTGACATTACCTGCAGTTGCAGTTGAGGAAATGGTACATAAGGAATTGGAGAGAAGCCTGTCAGCTACTGTAACTCTCTATGTAGCAATAAAATGATCAAGACTGTTTTCCAGCTTTTTAATAGTCAAGAACAGGGGTCGGCAACCTGAAACACTGAAAGAGCCACTTGGACCCGTTCCCTCACAAAAGAAAAAACTCTCTCTGTGTGTGTGTGTGCGCGGAACACGGCACTTGATTGCGCGGAATACGGCACTTGATTGAAGAGGCTGGATCAGCTTCATTTTCTTCCCTCCGAGGTCGGAACCCCCAACGCCCCTCCCTGCCTTGATCCAGAAAGATTTGCGCCTTTCCCGAACCCCGAATCGGTCCCTTCCAGCGAGTTGCCAAGCCTCCCCTCCCTCCTCCTTCTCTGGCAGCTACTGTGTTTAAATTTGCTTTTTCTTGGGTGGCTACAGAGCTTCCTTCATTTTCTTTCCTTCCTAATCCTCTTCTCCCCCCCTCCCCAGCCTTCCCTACAATGCCCTTGCGCTGTGGTGTATCCTCCTCTCCCGACGGGGAGAAGGAGCTGCTGCAGCAAATCTTTTGAGGTGGCAGTAGACGGCCGCTCGGGCTCGCCTATCTCAGCCTCTTGTGGGAGGCCGGAGTTCTGCCTCCGGAGGAAGGCGAAGGGACACGGCTGCCCGTTCGCCGCCCCAGCCAGGACTGCCGCCCGGCCCAGCCCGGGGAGACACGTGGCCGGCTCGGCTTCCCAGGGAGCGATGCCCTCGCCAGCCGCCGCCCCAGCCATGACTGCCGCCCGGCCCAGCCCGGGGAGACGCATGGCCAGCTCAGCTTCCCAGGGAGCGATGCCCCCGCCGGCCCAGCCATGACTGCCGCCCGGCCCGGCCTGGGGAGACACGTGGCCAGTTGGGCTTCCCAGGGAGCGATGCCCCCGCTGTCCGCCGCCCCAGCCGGGACTGCTGCCCGGCCCGCCTGGGGAGACACATGGCCGGCTCAGCTTCCCAGGGAGCAATGCCCCCGCCGGCCCAGCCATGACTGCCACCTGGCCTGGCCTGAGGAGACACGTGGCTGGCTCGGCTTCCCAGGGAGCAATGCCCCCGCTGTCCGCCGCCTCAGCCGGGACTGCCACCCGGCCCGGCCTCGGGAGACATGTGGCCGGCTCGACTTCCCAGGGAGTGATGCCCCCACCGGCCGCCGGCCCAGCCATGATTGCCGCCCAGCCAGGGCGGACATGTGGCCGGCTCAGCTGCCCAGGGAGCGGCCCAGGGACAGCCGAGGAAGCGATGCCCCAGCTGAGACTGCCGCCTGGTACAAGTAAGCCGGGGGCGCGCCACCTGCCCTACGGCCGCTTTGCGGCAGTGCTCCATGGACTCAGCCCCCTCCCTCCCCCCGCCACTGACGCTCTGTCTCTGGCTCTGCTGCTGCTTGGCCAACGGTCGTGCCGGTTGGGCATCAGAGGAGCTGCTCTCCCTCGGGGCCGCAGTTTGCGGGAGAGCTGGCCCGCTCAGCGGAGGCTCGGGTGGGCCGCTCCCAGCGGGGATCTTGGGCCTTCCCCGCACAGCTCCCCAGCCACGGGCACCTCAGACAGGGCCAGCCCAGGAAAGGGACTTCCTGGCCACCCTTCTCCCAGGGGGCGGGGCACCCGGGCACAGGGCCAATCAGGAGCCCTTCGAGGGGGCAAGTCCGCATGAGAGAGAGAGGGGGGGAAGTGCAAGTGCCTCTCTCTCTCTCCTTGTCTCTCTCTGCAAATGGCGGAGGAGGCTCCGGAGGCTCAAAGAGCCGCATGCGGCTCCGGAGCCGCGGGTTGCCGACCCGTGGTCCAGGAGTTCATAAAGAAGTAGGAATGCTATGCATGTTGTTTGGAGGAAGCTTTTTTGTTTTATGAACATGTATAGTGCTTTCCATTCTAAGATTGCTGGGTAATTTATAACATTAAAATGTAGCATAAAACAATTAAAATGTCACTTGTTTAAAAAAGAAGAGAAACAAAAAGATTTTAAAAGCTTAAAAATCATTGGCACTGAAAAGGTTACAAATTAGGCAAATGGATTATTACAAATAAAACTCTTTTTTGGTCATTATCTCCTTTGACAGTAGGATATGAGGCAGAGAAGAACATTGAAAATAAAGTCAATTTACCTGGGTTACATGTACATTACCTTTGAAATGTTTAATGCTTCTTGAGCAGTGATTCTGCAAATTACTGTGTGGCCTCCCCACAATGAATATAGAATTTATTTAAACTTATTGGCCACCCAATTTCAGTGAACGTCTGCAGTGGAGTTGTTTCTTAGTCTTTGCTTTTTTTTTAATCTGATAAAAACTAATGGCAACAGCATGAATGAACAAGCATTTAAAATATTTTTACGAGTTAATTTCTGTATATAGTTATGTAAGTAACAGTTTTACTTTAAAAGTCAGTTTTCTCATTAGTCATTGTTTTTTGAGAACTGTGTTCGGTTGAAAGGCACTTTGATTCCCTTAATCTTTAACTGTTTAAAAGCAGTATATCATTTACTGATTAACCCAAAAATATAATGAATGTAAAACACTGTTTTATGTTTATAAAACCTCTTTTCATGTCCTGCATTTCTTGATGAAAGTGTTATCACTTTCTGACTTCCCATTATTAGATTTATATTTATTCTTTGTCTACAGATACTACATATCAAAAGGTGCTATTGTTGACCAGCTTGGAGGTGACCTGAATTCCACACCACTACATTGGGCAACTAGGTGGGAAATATTGGATATTTTCACATAATTTCATTATTATTTAATATTTATAAAACAGTTTTGCAACACTGTACTGCAAAATAAATCCAGCAAGAAAGAGTTGCTGGTTGAGCATTGAGTTTCTATAACATCTCTGTCAGACACTGAGGAAACAGATCTGCAACTTGGACTTATAGCTACTGCTTGTTGGGCAAGTATAGGCTATAGATAGGTCAGCATAAGTCACTGAGCCCTAGTGATTCATTTAACTGTGACAAAAAGATCATAAAATGGGGCAAAACTTGCTTAATAACTGCCTTGCTTAGCAACAGAAATTTTTGGCTCTCTTGTGGTCGTAAGTCTAAGACTCCCTATAATTTCAGAAGACACTGAAAATAGATGCCCCAAAGAGTAAGTATCTGCCATTTGGATTCTTCTGTTGTTGCTGAGTTTGTTTTGATTTTGGTTTGGTACATTGACATTTATTTGTTATTTTATGCATATTTAATATGGATTTTAAAAATTAGGTACTATATATTTAATAATTGTTAGGAGTCTTAGCAAATCACAGTGGATTATCAGTCAATTCAATGAATCAAGAGTTCATTATTTGCTGTTTAGTGATTTTGAAAGGACTTATCTGTACATTCACTAATACACTAAGGTTCTCGAAAAATTTTAAGAAAGCATAACAAAATATCTAGTATATTTATTAAAAGAACAAACTGCATGACTGTTGAATGTAAAATCTGAAAAGGTTCTATGTGCTCATGGAATATTTCCATGTTTCAATTGTTGTGTCAAAACTCCTGGTTGCATAAATCAGATTCCCCCCAAATTTGTGCCACCTAAATGTATTATATTGTAATTCTCATCATCTAAAAATATAATAAGCAAGCAACATTTTTGAAATTGTTACCTAGGATGATTTTGAAAACAAATGATCTTGTAAATAGATAGACTTAAATAGGTTTGTATTTCTTCTCTAGGTGAAATAATGTGCAAATAAAGGAAAAGCTACATTACAAAATTTAATGCTGTTTTTTAATGTTTTAGACAGGGTCATTTATCAATGGTTGTACAGCTTATGAAATATGGTGCAGATCCATCATTAATTGATGGAGAAGGATGTAGTTGTATTCATTTAGCAGCCCAGTTTGGACATACATCTATTGTCGCTTACCTAATAGCCAAGGGACAGGTATGTACATTTGCTTCATAACTTTAGGAGTGACAATTACATGTTCATGTGTATTTTATAATTGCATTTCTGAGATTAACATATGCAGCACTATACATAACTTCCTGGGTATAACTCTTCAAAGTCATCAGAACTTACCTCTGAATAGTTGAATATAGTACTTGTCAATTGTTTTATATTATCTAAACCAGCGGTTCTCAACCTATGGGTCGCGACCCCATTTGGGGTCGATCGACCATTTCACGAGGGTCACCAAGCAAGGCTGTCCGCCATTTTTTCCCCTTTTCCGGCGGGTGCCTTACCTCCCTTGAGCTGGGCCAGCTGGTGGTCGGCCTGCTCCGTCTCTGCCGCTTGCCAGCTACACCTCGACCGGTGCAGGGGGCGGAACCACGCATGTGCGGCGCTCCCGGGCAGGGAAAGTCCTCGACTTATGACCAGTTTAGTCCTCGACTTACGACCGGTTTAGTCCTCGACTTACGACCGGTTGGGGGTCGCGGCATTAAAAAGGTTGAGAACCACTGATCTAAACGGACTCAATTACAAATAGGGATTTAATTGGAGATAGTACTTTGTAGCCTACAGTTATTCACCCTTACAACCCACCACTGGGTTGCCGCAGCATCCTCCTGCCTCTCTCTTCCATCCCATCCTGCTGGAATCCTGCAATGCTTGGGCTTCCATCCCACACACCCATTATGTCCCACACTTACCTTCTGAAGCTTTCCAGATCTTAGGTTGTGGAAGGAGGCAGACCATGTATCCTTGGGCTATGTGGCGGCAATCTAAATGCAGCCACTGTTTTGTCCTGTCCGTTTGTGGGCAGGACAAAATGATGGACCCCAGAATTGGCTGCGTTTTGCTGCCTTAGAGAGGTCTGCACAGTGCTGCAGAAAGCTTCTGAAGCAGTTGGTAAGGCACTAGAACAAAGTAATTTGTCCCCGGGCTGTGGCAGCAACCCAAATGTGGCCACTATATTGTCTCCACCCACAAATGGACACGTTTCACCTAAAGACGGCCATAACATGCAATCCTAATGGGCAGGCTCCATTACAGTCATATCTCGAGGACTACCTGTATAAATTAATACAGGTAGACCTCAATTTATAACAGTTCATTTAGTGACCGTTCAAAGTTACAATAGCACTGAATGGCTATTTTTCATATGACTATTGCAGCATCCCCATGGTCACATGATCAAAATTCAGATGCTTCAGATGCTTGACAACTGATTCATAATTATGTCAGTTGCAGCGTCCCAGGGTCATGTAATCACCTTTTGTGACCTTATGACAAGCAAAGTCAATGGGGAAACCAGATTCACTTAATAACCATGTTACTAACTTAACAGCTGCAGTGATTCACTTAACAACTGTGGCAAGAAAAATGGGGCAAAATTCACTTAACAAATGTTTTCTCTTAGCAACAGAAATTTTGGGTTCAATTGCAGCTGTGAGGATTACCTATAATTTCATTTACAGAAATAACTGACCTAAAACAGTAGATGGTGCACTAACACCTACTACAAACTGTGATCAAATGCATGCACACAAAATTGTTTAATATAGTCTGCAAAAATATAAAACTTTCAGTCAATACCTAAAATACTTCATAATAACCTCTGCCTTACCATAGTATTATACTGTCTTAGTTTCCTTCAGAGAAGGTATCTAAATGTTTTCCATTAGTATTTTTATATCTGATTATTTTTGTTTTCCTCAGGATGTTGATATGATGGATCAAAATGGAATGACACCTTTAATGTGGGCAGCTTATAGAACACACAGGTAATTTTCTTATTTAACTTTAAATCTGTGGGTCGTTATTTTTAACATTCAAGTAGCTTATACATAGCATGAAATGTTAGAATTTTATATTCTTAAGTATGATTTGAATGAAATGGTTCATACCTCACATGTACTTCTACTGTCCATTAAGATAGTTCAACCAAGCTAGCAAACGAGCCACTTCAGTTTCCAGAAAAAATATTGCCAATAGGGTCACATAACAAAATTTGAAAGCCAGTCAAAGCAGTTTTCATACTCAACATAATTAAGGTGACATTTCTATGATTTTTTCCCCCTATACCTGGTTATGCTACCTCTAGTCTCCATGAGCTGATACATCTATTTTACATCATTCTTGTTTTCTCCTCTGCGGTCTCTTGATATTTGATATTCTATCACATTGCTAGAGCAACAGGATCTTTTTTCATGTTTTCCTAGAAACCTGAAAAAGTAATTCTGCTTTAATCAGTAGCTGAGAAATACATAAGGATTGACAACTACTTTCAAATTATTTTGAAACTATGCACAATTCTATTTATAGAAGATATACTGCATAATGTCATCCGCATTATTATATTGATAATACTCAGCTCTTGCTCCTTATTATCCAGTTCCAAGGAAATATTCAATAGCTTGGACATCATTGAACTCTAATGACTAAACAAGGAAAAGAACATGAAATTAAATCCAGACAACATGGCAATCCTATTGATAAATACCAAAATAGACTATGGGATTAAGGAAATGAAGAATTAATGTCACTGTTCAGCCCAGATTTGGCAATATACAGTGATAATCAGATCAATGAAAAACTGTACTTCTCCACTGTAATTGTATTCTCAGAACGGCTAAGAAAAGTGACTGCTTGCCCCTACATCATGTTTGGAAGGCTCTTTGCAGATAAAATTCCTGACATTTGATCCAGATTCAACAGCTTTTGGACAGTCTAGTGCCATGACTAGAGCAAAATTTTGTAAGATCATTTGAGACCTTTTTGAATGTGAACTCTGAGAAAGAGGATAAAACTCTCAATAACATGAGATTAGCTTCCACTAAAACGAGTCCATGCCCTGCTTGGATCTTTCAAGATGGGTGTGTGTGTGTAGCTTGATTCAGGGAAGAGATAAGTACTTCTTTTGTGAAGGATGTTATATAGTTATCCTCAAAGAATTCAGTGTGCATTTCTGCTTAAGAGTCCATCTCTTGATATAGTCTGCTATAATTTCCATTCAATTTCTAGTCTCCCTTTTTAGGGAAGTTTATGGAGAAGATGATAGGACTTCAATTACAAAGATTGCTAGATAAAACAGATTATCTTGATCTCTTCCAGTCATGTTTCAGAGCTTGACTGAGATTATATTGGTTCTTCTAGTGCAGGGGTAGGCAACCTTGGCTCTTTTATGACTCGTGGACTTCAACTCCCAGAATTCCTGAGCCAGCTATGCTGAAGGGAAAGGGAGAGGTTTCCAAGCTGAGCCATGTGGCCCAGGAATTCTGGGAGTTGAAGTCCACAAGTCAAAAAAGAGCCAAGGTTGCCTACCCCTGCTCTAGTGTATATGGCATTTGCTGGCATCATTAAACCTCTTGGATTCATTTGATACATATTTGGTAATGACCATGATATCTTTCAGGGCTGCTTCTGAAAGTTGGGTTCTGCTTTGATGGTTCTGCTTCTTCATGCAGGGACAGTTCCAGTGAAGGGAAGTTGTTGTGATTGTCACTAGTAATAAATCACTCATTTGTATTTTAATTAATTCAGAAACTAACCTGATCCAGTCTGAAAGAATATATATTCTTTCTCCAAGGAATTTGTATCTAAATAAACATAATGTCTTAGTTTATATAATGTTTTTGTTAATTTTCCAGTGTGGATCCTACTCGGTTGCTGCTTACTTTTAATGTTTCGGTGAATTTGGGAGACAAATATCACAAGAATACAGCACTACACTGGGCAGTTCTAGCAGGAAATACTACAGTGATTAGTCTACTGTTAGAGGCTGGAGCTAATGTTGATGCCCAAAATATCAAGGTAAGTCTGTCTTCATGTAGTAGAAATTTCATATTTTGTTGGTTATTTTTTAATAAGAATAAGATTCAATTCCAACACATACATTCAGTAAAAAGTCTCTTTTGCATTACAGATACTTTTGGCTCTTTCCACATACCCAATGCCTGGTGTTCATTTTGCTTTTCAACTGTTTAACTCTTTATGCATATTCTCTCTATCCCTTTGCTGTGGTCATCATTTACTATTTATTTGGTTTTTTTTCTTTGAGTTACCTTGTTTCTTGTATTATACAAGCTTAGCCCCATATCTTCTAGGACACTTTCATCTTCTGTGACTGTCTAACTTGTATTTAATACCATTGCTTTTTCTGTGGCATGATTTCCAGTCTTATGAAATCAGTGCTAAAGAGTATATAAATGCTTCATTAAAATCTCCTTTGACTTAACATTTTCTACTGCCCATTCCACCACTGATTTATTATTTTATGAAATATTTAGAGATCCCCAATATTTTGGGGGTGATTAACATATTTGGAATTTTGAAAGCATGTACTGATATTGTCACAAAATTGCTACCATGATAAGTATGGCCAGTTATAAAATCCTCTTTTTCTACAAGGCAAACTAATGGGCCTGGTTTCCTTTGCCCAAAGATGTCAGCTTTACATTTCAGCTACATTTAATGTAGCTATTTTTTTCTGGATAGGTGCCTACTCTTTCAAACGAAGCACTGAGCTGCAAACAGCAATAATTTCATTCTCTAAGAATATATTTGGAAATACTGTAATTACAGACACACTGTTTGGATCCATGAAAATAAAGTATTCATATATTTATTAAAGAAAAAGCAAAGTGCCCTGTAACATCTTAGAAACTTCTTAATATTGTTATTAACATAAGCTTTTGTGGGACAATATTCACTTTGTTGGATTGTTTTTCATCAGACTTTGTAACATCATTCTAGCTAATGTTTAAGGTCCTGTGAGATACTAGTTTTGTTGTTAATTTTGTTAATTGCAAAAGCCTAATAAAGCTATGGATAAATTTATCTAAAAATAGCTTCCATAGTCTGGAACATCTTTGCTTTCTCTTCATTAAATGGCAAGCAGCAGTTGGCCATGAGCTATTTATATGTTTTGTTTTTGAAAACTGCAAAGTAACGAATAGATGAAAAATCCTATAAAGAATTTTGTGGAACCTTAAAAATGAATACAGATACTATAACCTATATTTTCATCATTTGTTTTCAGTGAAAAATGAATATAAGGCACAGAAGCTTGGGATATAATAAATTAATATTTACAAAGCACAGTTTTTCTTGTGCTTTTGCTACAGCAGGCTGACACATCCAGATATATAGTTACTTGTCTATAATTTATGGAAGAGGGAGAGATAACGCAAAAAGGCCTGCAATGTCTGGACAGTGACAATTCTAGAGGAAAAAAATAGTTAATTTTTCTTCAATGTATATTTATAAAAAGAAAAGGGAATAAAAATATTATTCAGATTTGAGCTGAATACTCTCACATGAGATATTATAAATAAAAGAGATCTTTTTCAGAGTTTACAGAAGTGTCCCTTCAAAGACATATTGGATATTTGCTTTCTTTATAGCTGAATGCTAAATATTGTCTCCCAGTCAATAAAAGAAATTATGTTTCTGTGTCTTGTGCTGACTCAGAGTTAAAAGCCAGAAGCTCTTTGTGCCTTTTGTAGTTGAAATACTCAAGCACATGTTCCAAATCATATGCATTCCTTATTTTTTTCTGGTTTTCCCCCCTATTTTCTTTAATTAACCCAGGGGAATGGGGAATGGGGAATGAGTAATGGAAGACGACTTATTACATCTTCTTCACTGTAATCTGGCATGATGGATGATTTACTTTCAACCACCTGTGTTTGTGTTTTAATACTAGAAACTGTCTTTTAGAAAGCTGGTTTCGAGTAATGTAAATGTATCTTATATAAGGGTGTTAGGTAATGAACTTAGGTTCAAATTTGTCCTCAACTATGGAAGCTTACATAATTCTTTGGCTCAATCACTGTCTTATCCCATAGATATTGTACATTGCCTTAGTGCAGACATGTCAAACACAAGGCCCGGGGGCCTGATGTGACCCGCGAAGTGATTTCATGTGGCGCGCGAAGCCATCTTGGAAACAGTGAGGGAACAGCCCCCGCTGCCTTAGCCCTGGCCCAGGCCAGCTGGGAGAGAATGTACAATTTTGTGGTGGCCACCTATGCTGAAACACATTCAGTCTTAGCTCCACAAGGCTGTCTAGAAACAGTGAGGAACCAGCCCCTGTTGCGTCGACCCCGCCCCCTGGGTGTGTTGTGGCTCCGTCCTGTGGGTCCCTCTCATCAGAGGAGGAAGGCTCTGAACATGAAGGAGAGGAGATGGCCAGGCCTCCCTCTCCAGGACCTTCCCCTCTGGTGCGGCCTTCGGTGCCTTCCGACGGAGAGGAGATTGGCCAGGAGCCCGGTGCTTCTGGGATTGGCCAGGAGCCCGGTGCTTCTGGGATTGGCC